CCCAGTGAGCGTCCACACAGGGCTGGACCCACAGGGTCTCCAGGCTGCACAACCACAGGAGGTACAACTCCATCTTCATCTATTTGGCGCCTGGGGCAGGGCACTGACTGTCCAACAAAGACCCACGCGTTCCTCTTGTTCTCTAGTTTCCTCATACTGACGGGGGCCATGTGACTAGCTCTAGTCAGTGGGTTCTGCTTGGTGTGGGTCAGTTTTGGGTAAAAAAAAACAAACAATTAAGAACCTACTTTCCTCATTGATGCAATGAGACCTGAAGCCATAGATTGATCAGGTGGTGTTAGAGGATGATTAATTCTTGAGTGGGTGGCTGGGGAAGTCTTACACAAATGGATAAACAGTATGTGCATGGTACAACACAGAACATATGGGAGGTTGACATTCATGAGGGGAGCACCTAAACAGGCTATTTGGGGGAAGAGCAGAGGCCATAATGAAAATAAGTTTAAAATATTGATTTTATTAATCAATTTGACAAAATCTCTATGAAGGAAGTACTGCTTGAATCTTTATTTGATAAATGAAAAACCATCAGCACAGAGATGTAGAAGCTCACCCAAGGTCCTGCATCTACTGAAAAGAACACCAGGACTGATACGGTTTGGCTGTGCCCCTCCAATCTCATTTTGAATTGTAGTTTCCATTATTCCCACATGTCGTGGGAGGGACTTTGTGGGAGGTAATTAAACCATGGGGACAGTTTCCTCCATGCTATTCTCATGATAGAAAGTTCTCACGAGATCTGATGGTTTCTTCCCACTTCACTAGGCGCTCATTCTCCTTCCTGATGCCATGTGAAGAAGGATGTGTTTTCTTCCTTTTCTGCCATGACTGTAAGTTTCCTGAGGCCTCAGCGGCCATGCTGAAGTGTGAGTCAATTAAACCTCTTTCCTTTATAAATACCCAGACTCCAGTACATCTTTATTAGCAGCCTGAGAATGGACTAATATATGGATCCAAACCCAGCCAGGCAGCACCAGCTCCCAGGCCTTTAGCCTCTCTGTGTGCGGCTAGCAGTGTGAGAAACGGAGAAGGCATGGCAGCCCGGGGGTGGGGCCACTCCAGGTTTTGAGGGCCTGGAACATTACCTGAGCTCACCCTCCTGTTTTGCCAGTTCGATTTCATTCTTTGTTCACTTAGAATATGTGAATGTCCATTCAGTAAAAGACAAAATGAAAGGAGGAAAGAGAGAAGACCTGGAACGGGACATGTGCAGAACAGTGGTCACTGTCATTCCCCTGATGTCATGCGCTCAGGAACAACCAAAGGAGAACACGCAGAATGGTTCCTTACACATACAGAGAAGAAAGAAAATTGTTTATCAGCATGGAGGACAACTATCTTTCAGCTTCTGCCCAGCATACAGTAGCCTCTGTTTGAGCCGTAGTGAATGTCTCAGTTTTTCAACTGCTGTCTTCATTTTTGCTCCTGGTGTGGGGAGCATTGCTCTTGCTTGTTTCTCTTTTTCCCTTCTGGGCATATTTCCTGCATAAAGGAACTCTCTAAAAGTTCATTTTCATGGGGATTGTTTTTCTTTAAAAAAAAAAACTGCAGATATTTCTCTGCAGACTTAACGTCTGAAACACACCCAGTTCCCGCTCCCGAATAGTTTCCTCTGTACGTTTCTCTGTGTGGGTTTTCTTCCAAAGTGCCACAGGCCAGACAGGGCTCTTTTTGAGCCCATCTGAGAGGCCCTGGTGTTTCTACAGGTTACAAACACTGAAAGAAAAAGCACATTCCCCACCCCAACGCTTGCCAGCGCTCACTCTCTCTCTTTTTAGACAAATGGTGTTTTTATAGATTCCCCTTCCTACTAAAGACAGTGTTGGATTCTCTGCTGCAGCCCTTGAAATGTCTGCACACACCGTGCATTATAATCAGATAAAACCCTCAACCGAGCAAAGCATGGTCATCTCATACCAGCCAGTGTCTGCAGCCTTCTCTTATTTTCAGTTCTTGCCTGGCAGCAAAACTGGGCACACTCATGTCAGCAAGAAAATAAACTGGGAATATGGAATATATTAAGCTTAAGAGGAGGGCCTGGAAGGAATGAGCACTTTATTTGCTTAAGGCAGCTTAGTTGCACCTGACATTAATAAATGAAATGAAGGTTGATCAGTATTTAAAACAACCGTACAAATTGGAACATGTTCATCCTAGTGAACAGAATGTGAAAAAAATCCAGAAGTTGGCAATAAGTAAACCGCCTCATCTCAATCAGTCGTTTCTGTTTTCTTTCTGTAAGATATTCATGGGAATCAGAATTTTGGAGGATCTCCATGAGGTTTTCCTTGTTGCAATGAACTTGTATTCCCTTTGCGTGGTAATAGAAAGCTCCAGGGGAGCATCGATGAGAAGGGCATGGCCGTCTGCAAATACAATATGGTCTAATGCAAACTTTGCTTCCTGCTAAAACTTTTTTTGAGACTCACCAAGATGTATGTAAAGGCACCACTCATTAAAATAACAATAACTTTTTCTTTAGTATGTGCCAGATATGGGCTAAGTGCTTTACATGAATGATTTCATTTAACCCTCAGTAAACTTCAAGATACACTATGCTTTCCATTTTACAGATGTAAAACTGAGACTTGGAGAGGCCTAGGAACTGCCCAAGGATACACACCCAGCTGGTAATTTACCAATTCCTAAGATCATTAACTAAAATTTAGTGATCTGGGCACTGATCAGCCGGTATTATCATTTTTTATGTGAGTAGCACACACCAGTAGTTTGCATAAAGTAGTGACAGTAAAATAGGCCAATGTTATAATTTTCTATGAAAGGCACAGAGACTTCCGTCTACCAAAAATTCGTAAACTATTTGTAGAGACAAGTTTGATATTTTCAGTAGACCTTTGAACAACACAGAGCTTACAGGCCTGCAGTCAAAAATTCACGTACAACTTCCAACTCTGCAAAAACTTTACTAATAGTCTACTGTTGACTGAAAGCCTTACTGACGGCATAAACAGTCAATTGACATATATTTTGTATATGTATTACATTCTGTATTCTTGCCATAAAGTAAGCTAGAGAAGAGAAAATGTTATTAAGAAAATCATAAGGAAGAGAAACTATATTTACTATTCACTAAGTGGAAGGAAGTGAATATCATCAAGGTCTTCATCCTAGTCATCTTCATGTTGAGCAGGCTGAGGAAGAGGAGGGACTGGTCTTGCTGTCTCAGGGGTGTCAGGAAAGATGGAAAAAAAATCTGTGTATAAGTGGACTCGTGTAGTTCAAAGCCATGTTGTTCAAGGGTCAACTGTAATTAAACTGAGTTACAATTTAAGTTAATGTATAATCTTCACTGAACTCATAGCATATTTTATCAAAGCTAAGAATCTTGTCATTAAAAGACAATACAAGCAAACACCTCTTCCGTTCCACCTCTCAAATGTTCCGCTTGATGAAGTCGGTGTGGCTATTGCATTAACGTTTCTATTTGAACATATCAGTATCTTCAGAATTCTGAGAGGGGGGTGGTATGCAGAGGGGAAGCAGGGGCCAGAGGTCAGGGAAGAAACACGAAGAGCGCCTGGCTGATCCCAGTTTCCCTCTGATCACACTTCCTCACCGTTTGCCACTGAAGCCCTGTTGTCTATCCTTGCTGAGGAAGAAGAGATGGAAGAGAAGAGAACAGAAAGAGAGAAGGAATTGAAAAGAGTATTAAAGAAAGACAGAAAGAAAATTGAAAGGAACTTGAAAGGGACTTTGCATTGCTCTGAAGGTGAGAAGGTAAAATAAAACTTCCAAAAGAAACCTTTTCACCCTTACCAACATCAAAATTTATAATACTTGCTTTTCTTGGAAAAAAGAAATTAGGCAGAGGTAAATGAGGGGTTATTTCAAGAAATGTTATATAATGTTATAATATAATGAGGGCTTGTGTGCTCTATGATGATATGACAATTTGCAAGATTAATCTGCTTCCGTTATTCCAGACAGGGATTCTCGACATGGGATCTGTGGGCCTCAGAGGAATCTAGAAATCTGAAAGTTTTGCAAATTATAAAGTTTCCATAATTTTTCTGGGGAATGGTTCTGAAGCTTCCAGCAGCATCTCAATGGGGTTTTCCAATTCTGGAAAGATTAAGAACTGCAGATTAAGGAAGATAGATTCCAGAAACTTTCGCTTTAAAGATCTGACTTGGCAGGCAGTTGGGAATCTTTCTGTAGAGTGCTTTCCTCAAAAGGATAAAATGGTGACTTTATCAGATTTTCCAGAAGCCCCAATGTTGCACTGAGTCCTTTCCAGGCAAGCATCCATATCCTTTTATCATTTCTCTTATGATAGGGTTTAAAATTTTCTCACCATCCATCAATTGCCCTGACCTGTCGATTTCTCCTGAATGCATGGCACCCTAAAGTGAGCACTACACTCCAGGATGAGTCCACCCATGTGAAAGCAGGCACTACCCATCTTATTTTGGACACTATGCTTTTGTTATAAAACCAAAGATCCGAAGAGCTTTTTGAAAAATACACAACCCTTTTGTCTGGCATCAAGTATTTTTGACAAGTAAATTTTCTAAATCTTTCCACATGTGTTACCTCTCAACTCTGTCACTTTCCACTTATCTCATACGTATACACTTGATTTTTAGGAGACCAAGGAGCAGAATTTTATATTTATCTATTTTAAATTTTATCTTGTCTAATTTGGTAATTGTTTAGCAAAGTGTATCAGAATATTCTGGAAGCTCGATTTCTTATCCAACGTTAACAGTTACCTCTCCCAGCCTCGTGCCACTCATGGGTTTATTTATCATGATCTCAAAGCCCTATCCAAGTCTCCGGTTTCCATATGGACAGGAGCAGGAGACTAAGGACTAGCATCTCCTCCTATCTGTTGCTGATTTAGGTTGATCAATGAATCAATGCTCTTTAGCTTTAAAGCATTCAATCAGTTGTCAATTCAGCTGGCTAGAACAGAATTCAGCCCACATTTCTCCATCTTGGCAATTTGAATATCATACAATTTTTTAAGGAACTTGCTGAAATTTGGATACTCTTCTTATGCATAGCATCCTTAGGTATTTTCCACTCTACCTCACAACTATTGCAGAGAGACAGATTTTGGCTTAACAAAGCTGCTTGGGCCTGGAATACACCTGCTTCAGGTGGTGAGGTCTGTCATTGCAGGTTTAAAATGCCTGGCTATAATATAATGGAAATAAATAGGAATAAAGTAGGAAAGATTCAGGTATCAAACAGATTGAATTTTGTATCTGTATAGTGACTTGTGATTCTGAACATTTTTGACTACAAATTATGCTTCATGGGTGTTGAGTGAGTCAAATGGTAGCTTCAGGTACAATTTAATTCAAGGATCAATGATGTCCTCATGAGCCCTTTCTGTTCTTCTTTTGTGTGTGGGTGTGGCTCTCAGGCTATCTCCCCTTGCTATACAGTCAGTTGGCTGCAGCGTCTTACTGAGCCCAGAGGAGAGAATGTCTGTAGTCTAGCATGCCTGGCAGACATCTTAAGACTTGCACTGACTAGACTGGATTAGGTCATGTGTTTATCCTGTGGCCACAGAGATGGGCACAGAGATGAGTTATGCTGTTCTCGTTATCTATTGCTACATAACAGATCACTCTAAAACTTAGGGCCTAAAACGATAATCATCTCCTTATCTCCCATGGTTTCTGTGGGTTAGGAAATTGAGTAAGCTCAGCTGGGTGACTTTGCCTGGGGCACCTCATGGACTTGCAGTCAGACGGTGGTTGGAGCTAGAACAGCGGTGGGGAAGAGGAGTAGGTGGTGCTGGGATCTACCTGGGCATCTCTTTTTCTTCATGTAGTCTTGAGGCTTCTCTATGTGGTCTCTCCAATGGGGCCAGTTTGGGTTTCCCCACAATATGGAGACCTCAGGGCAGTGAGATTGCTTGCATACAGTGTCCCAGGAGAATAAGGTATAAGTGGCATTTTTGTGGTCTAAACTCACAAATTACATAATGTCTTTTCTGACCTACTCCGTTGGTTGAAACAGTCACAAAAACCCACCCATACTCAAAGGTAGGGTACATAGACTCTATTTCTTGATGGAGGAGGGGCAAGATTCTAGAAGAAATGCTAGAAGAACAGTCATTTTTGGAAAATATAATCTTTCACATATGCTAATGGGGTTAATCCAGTCAAAACCTGGCCCTGAGCTAAGAGCCCAAAAACAATCTCCCAAAGTAAGCCTGGCTGGTTGGGCATTGTAGCTCACACCTGTAATCCCAACATTTTGAGAGGCCAAGGCAGGAGGATCATTTGAGCCCAGGAGTTCAAGACTAGCCTGGGCAATATAGCAAGACACCATCTCTATTAAAAATTTTAAAAAATATATCAAAGTAAGTCTGGGTGCTATAAATGGGAGAAGAGAGGTGTAGATGGCCGAGAACAATCCCTCATTCTGTGAGCATGGGGACCAACGCACAGGTGCAGAGGGAGGAGGTCACTGTGTTCTACCTACTTTAATTTTTTAATACAGATTTCTACAACTACTTTATCATATGACAAGTTTTGCCAAGAACTTATACTGATAGTCAAAACTAAACACAACACTGTTTGATTTTTTAAAAAGAAAACATTAAGTTACACATCATTAACTTAGATCCACCAATGGAGAATCCATCTTGGTGCATTAGGCTGAGTTTTCTTTGTGCTGTTTAAACACACAGACTAGTGGTATTAACAAAGGTGGGGGTCAAGGAATATTTTAAGGGGATGAGCAACCAGCTTTCATGTTGCTGAAGAGAAAAGGTGCTAATTACAAATATTTCTGAGAATCTGTTCATTCAACACTTTTGAGATTACAAAAGTTATTTCTTGTCCTCATTCTGATAGTATTAAATTCAAGTAAGAATTCAGTAAATACAGATAAAATGTATATAGAATAAGGCTTATTTCTTTAAAAATAGTCAATAAGTCAGTTTTTTTGTGGTTTTGCCAAAGTGACATTGACACACTAATTAGAGTCAGGCTTTATATATTGTTTTTAATTGGGAGAAATATGTACCAAAAGAAATATGAGCTTTATCATTATAAATTCATATTCAAAAGGTAAAAAACTACTGTGTGGCTGTGTCATTGCTGGTTTAATGATTTCCTTGCATTCCCTACAGAACGGCTGATAGCATAATTACAGCATTCCTGCTGTGAACTTTCCTTTGTTTTCTAAATACAGTAAATGTATTAGAAAACTTATTCAAATGAAATCCCCCTATCCTCTCACTCTTCATGATTGTCAGCTTCAGATAAGCCCATGCTGATGGCTGCCAATTGCTCCTTGGCATTTGGCTTTATTATAATTGCCTGATGGGTTCATCCTGCCTACTGCACAGATAAAACCAATTTACTGAGACAGTGGTATTACAATAGAGAAAGAGTTTAATTATCACAGAGCTAGCCAAGTAGCAGATGGGAGTTTATGACTCAAATCAGTCTCCCTGAGAATTCAGAGGCTAGGGTTTCTCAACGATAGCTTGGCAGGCAGGGAATTAGGGAATAGAGAATGCTGATTGGTTGGGTTGTGGATAAAATCATAGCTGTCTTCTTGCACTGAGTCAGTTCCTAGGTAAGATCACAAGGCCAGATGAGCCAGTTTTGTGGATGGGGTACCAGTCCAGGTGTACCCGCTCGTTCATTAGAATGCAGTCTGAAAAATATCTCAGGCAGCAATCTGAGGTTTTGCAATGGTGATGTCACCCACAGGAGCAATTGGGGTGGTTACAAACCTTGTGACCTGTGGCTACATGGCTCCTGAACCATAATTCTAACCTCATGACTAACTTGTTAGTCTTGCAAAGGCATATTTGGTCCCTGAGCAAGGACAAGATTAGTTTCAAAAGAGACTGTCACCATCTTTGCTTTAAAGTTAAACTAAATTCCTTCCACCGTTAGCTTGTCCTATGCCCAGGAAAAAGACAGCCTGGAGGTTAGAAGCAAGACGGAGTCAGGTCAGATTTCTTTCACTGTCATAATTTTTCTATGTCAAATTTTTCTCACTGTCATAGTCTTTGCAAAGGCAGTTTCATTGAACTCCATTCTGCTCAGGGAACAGTAGCTGCCAAGACTAAAGTTTGGGTGTTAAGTGCATGGAAAGACATTCAGCCTGTGCCTCCCTCCTCCCGCCAACACCCACAGCCTGCCTGTCAACAGCCCCATGCTCAATCATCCTAAGAATCTGCTCTACTGCTTCACTGTTTGGCGGTGGCTCTAGATTTCTGAGTAGCTTTCTTCTCTCAGATGCTTGCTGTGCCAAAAGTGTGTTTAACAAGGAACAGCTAAGACACCGAGTGTTCAAACAATCGTCAATTGTTGGGTCTGTATGAATTCAAACAGCAGACTTGTCTGATTTCTTCCTTCTTCTGTTTGCCAGTTTGACTAAGTTTGCCTATTATTTTAACATTAGGTAGAAGTTTTTAGTCACAAAAACCTACACTCCAGTTTTTAATGCCTTACTAGACATACTTACTCTTGAATGCATGGTTTCTCTGCCTATTAGCAGTATTTTACCAGCTTTTGTCAACACAGCTTGTACCCTATCTGCAAAGGACAGGAAACGCAGAGGCCTAGATAGCTGGTCTGTGCTCGCCTGTGTCCTGTTCAATGTCACAAGAGAGGCCCTCCTGCACACCCCACTGCACTGGAATGGACATAGAACCCTCAAGCTGTCAACGGTGACTTCCCCCACGGGGCCCCTTACCTCTCCCCATCTTCTGACTTCCCCAGTCACTTCCAAGTTCCCATTTCTTCCACTTCTTCCAAATAACACCTGCCCATCTTCACAATGAGCACCTGGACACGACACTCACCATCTCACCAGAAGTGCAAGTATCTCAGAGAGCATTTCAAGGCAAACCAAGGGTCAGAGTGACAGTGACTCTGGTGGCTAGTCCAAGGCAGCAGCAAGTGGCCACTTCCCTGAGTGCCATAAGAAGGAACTTACAGTCTCACTTACGCCCCATAAAGTTCTGGAGTATCATTCAAAGGCTCTACATTTAGATTCTCCAAATGGCCACAAATGTGCTATTAACAGTTCACGAGGAACCACGTGGGTGTCACAGGGTACAGAAGGTTACATTTCTGGAGAAGATGTTCAAATATGCCCGATAGATGCTTCCTGACCTATCCCACAGTAGTAACCATGTGTTTCTGAAATTCTGACATCCGGAGCCTCACTGACACTGGAGGGACTGCCCCTCCCAGGGCTAGTCAAGTCCCAGAGACAGCAAATGACTCCCCCATGAGTGTGCCCTTCATGTGCAAACCACACAGTCCAGACCTCACATGCACACCCCACCTCCTCTCGCTGGCTCTCCCATGCTGGGCCTCTATTCCCCTGCCCTAATCACCCCAGGGCCAGGTGCCAGACAGCTGGAAACAGCCCCTACGCCCCAGACCCAACCAAAATTATTCAACTAGCCAGTCCTAAGCTTGCTCAGCCTGTCTTCCCAGTTTCTTACCTTGGAAACCTCGACCAAGGCTCTTGCCCATGTTTCCCCAGCTTCTCTGCCTCCTGCCCAACCTTACTGCTTCCTCACTGGGCCCTGCGTGTCGTAGTGTGCCCCCTCCTCTTGGGAACTGAGTGATGATGGTAATCATCTCTTCATCTGTTGGCTTCACCACACCTGAAAACCTACCATTTAAACAACCAACCCCACTTTCTGCCAGAAAAATCTGGCCTAACCAGCTCCTCTGGCTGGGTTTATACATATTCTTATCACAGCTGCCAAGATCATGGTCACCGACAAATCTTATCTGTGCAAAGGGGATAATGATAGAGCGGGAATGGTGTGAAGAGCATGCTAGGCACACGCAGCGAGCTCTCAGCCCAGTGTCTGGCTCTGGAAGGTGCTTGGTGCATCTCAGCTCTGATTACGATGATGATAAACTGTGCACCTCGAGGCCTCCAGGTCACCTCTGAGTGCCAGGCACCTCCCATTCCAGCCCCTGCCTGAGCAAAGCTTGTCTGCCTGTTAACATCAGCTCCAGGGGT